ACACACACACAAACACACACACACACACACACACACACACACACACACACGGTTCCCAGCTCACACACCCCCGGGCCAGAAACACCTCCCCCGACAAGTTTGGGGGCCTGCACAAACTCACCAAACACGTTTAGTCAATGAACGCTCGTTCACTGCGTTCAAAACATAAATGTGAAACGCGCGTTCATTGAATGTGCGGCAACACACTTAGGGAACACACAGTCACTGTTCTTTTCAGAGAGGAAGCAGGGAATTTGACAAATGGGGTTAAGAAACAGCTTGTGTGTGTATGAAAACTCGTGGTACAATTCTGGGGGTATCGACCCTGCAGCGAAGCGTGGACGGTATCAAAACGAGGGGAAGAGTTCTGCGGTATGAAAACTCGGGTCCCGACGTCTCGCCCGGTTTGGCGACCGGGTGACCGGCCGGGCATGACCCCTGGGCATGGGGCCGAGCAGCCCCAGCGCCAAAAACAAAAAAAAAAAACAAAAAAAAAAAACTCCACAAAAAATCTGAAAAAAAAAAAAAATGTTGTGTAGAATGCAATACAAACAACTTTTGGCTGAGGGTCACATCAGAATTCCTCACGGAACTGAGGATAAAAAAAATAAAAATAAAAAATAAAAAATCACATTAGGCACCCCCTTTTAAACCCCTTTAGCCCCTTTGAAATTCATTTATACTCCCCTTCCCCCCCCTTGACAGCCAACTCTCAAAAAAAGAAACGAGCCCGGATTTGGGCTCCTCTCGGAGAGCGCGGAAAAACCCCACCGTCAATTTATTTATTTATTTATTTATTTTATGTTTTTCCCCATGCCCGGGTATCCCGGTCGTCAGACCCCCCCGGGCATCACGCCCGGGTGACCGGCCGGTCCAGACCGGCCGGTCATGGAAATCTTCCTAGTTTATCGCTGAATTTCCAACAATCCAACTCGATAGCCCGAATCTTCTCATCACTGTAGATTGTAATATTGTATTAAATCATGGCTCACAATCCCTTTGCCTGAACCTATCCGATCAGATGGAAGACTGCTACATGCTCTGTTGGAATCACAACAGTTGGTGGATACTTCCCGCACACTACATCCTGATACTCACACCTGTATTTGGTATGGCTTGCAAGCCCGGCCTGTTAGGCGTAGATTGGATTGTTTTCTTATCAGGAGCGCATTATGGGATCGCTGTGTAAAAGTCGACTTTGGAATATCTCCTCTTCTTTACCATTGATCAGTTACAACAGAACTAGACATTAGTAACCTATAAAGCTCGGTTGGGGTTCCTTTCCGCAACACTGGGCACCTAAAGGACAAGAACCACCTCAACTGGGCTAAGAAACACTAGGATAAATGGTACAAAGCTCGGAGTTTGTTTCCAAATGTGGAATCTTCGTCCGACACCGGCCTAAATGTGATGAAAAACTACCTGGATCTATGTTTTTGGATAAGACAATTGAGAAGAACAAAGTGGAACAAAAGTGGGTGGATAGAATTAGAAAAGCAGAAGAAAACTTGGGAAAGCACCCTGTTTCAGACGTGTATTGGACTTCTGCCCGGAAGACTTCTATGATGGAATTGGATAATCTTCAAATTCAACAACAACAAAAATTGAAGCTTGGCTCATGAAAAAGGGTATTATTACAAATGACAGACTGAACCTAAAGACGTTTCGAGGATTATTGTTGCAGAAGACCAAACGGTTACCTCTCATCAGGGAATTATCCCATCCTTTTGCTATCTTTGCCCCAACTAAAACAGACCCCTAAGGCATGTGCAACTATGCACAAGAGTACTTTCAGGATATTCTAACAACGAGTAGGCCCTATTATGACTTTTCAGCAGACCTGAGAGAAACCTCACCGTTCTGGACCAACACCAGAGCTCAACTTTCACAGGTGGGCAGGTTAGATTTGGACCGCCCCTTTACAATTGAAGAAATCAAACTTGCAGCAGAACAAATGGCCCATGAGAAATGCCCACGGTCAGATGGGTTACCTGTGGAAGTTTACTTGGCCCTATGGCCCTATGGGAACCCATTGGCCCTGCACTAGTCAAAATCTACAATGGAGTACTTTTAGGGGGCACACTAACCAAGGGTATGCAGCAGGGTATCATCATCTTGTTATACAGAAAAGGCGATAACTTCGATAAGTTAGATATTCCCGATTGGAGACCAATATCACTTCTTATATATTTTTTGCCAAAGCATTAACATTGCGATTAGCTAAGTACTTACCCGAC